TGTTCCTTGATGGAACTGACAGCGAGTGGGGTTAAAAGACAATCAGAAAATCCCTGCAATAAATGTAAGATTTTTAATTTGGAGACGTACTTGTAAGGAAAAGTGTGTATTCTGAGAGATCTGATGTTAGAGGGGATCTGCCTTAATCCAAGTTTCAGGGAAGATTTCCCTGGTGAGGCAGACAGGAGCTGAAAGATGAGTAGCAGATAGTATGCCAGGAGATAGCAAAGGCTTAGGGCAGACAGACTCTAGGCCTGTAAGGAGATAAAAGGAAAATGTATATGTCTACAAAGATGAAATCATACTCTTAGGGGATACAGATAAATATGTCCTATTAATAAAATGCCAAGCCCTTAGAAAATTTTATGAGCAAAGTTGCTGGCAGGTGTTGGGTAAAAATACTTGCCTTTGGCTTTCTAATATGATTTCTTGTTTCCTGGAAGGTATTGGGAAAGGTAAATATGTTCCCTTTAGCTTTGAAGTTACTAACTCTTACTATTTTAATTTTCTTTCAGTTCTGTTATGAGTTGCTAAAATCATGGTGAAATGTTGCTCAGCCATTGGATGTGCTTCTCGCTGTTTGCCAAATTCCAAGTTAAAAGGACTGACATTTCATGTGTAAGACTGCTGTAGTTAAGCCAAGTTCTTTTGACTGTATTAAAAAGTAGACTGTTCTACTTAAGGCTTCAGTTTAGAACTTTAGTTCCCAAGTTCTTTTCTTTTTCTTTTTTTTTTTTAATATTTCTTTAGTTGTTGATAGACCTTTATTTATTTATACTTGGTGCTGAGAATCCAGTGCCTCACACATGCCAGGCAAGTGCTCTACCGCACAGCCACAGCCACAGCCACAGCCCCCAAGTTCTTTTTAAATAACCTTCTAGTTAAATTTGACACCTGTACACTTAAAAGTGTAAATTATAAGTAATTTAGTGTAAAAGTTTTAAGATAACCACCAAGGTATCAGAGACTTCAACAAATATCATCAAACTCATTTTTGCTAATGTAATTATTCTGTTTATCATTGTATTTTCTTTAAAGAAGTTTGATGTTTACATGTAGTTTACAATCTGAATGAAGAATCTTAGCTTAAATATATTCTTTTCTATTTAGAAATAGATCAGGCATAGGTTGTAAAATATAAATTTGAGTTCAGAGTGAGTGTTCTTAACTGCATTCCAGAATAAACCAAGATGAGCCACATTTAGTATTTTAGCCATTCCTCTCACAGCCATAGAAGAGAAATATAGAATTTAATAATTATTCAGTTCCTAAAGGTTTATTTTGCTGCTTTTGGGCCAAGCACCATACTGTTTTTCTAGAGAAAGAACTGCTAGCTACTTTGTTAGGTATATGGAAATAAAAAAAATAAATATGTGTACCCTGCTTTATTCCAAAAAGATTTCAACCAGCTTAGAAAATTGGGAAAGACAAAATTATTGGCCTCCAATTCTCTCAAAATATTTCTGGTCTACAGAACTTAGTCCTGCAGCTAGCTGTTCTCTGGATACATTCGCTAAGCATTTATGGACCTGTTCTATATTAAATTCTATACTAAGCAATTTTCTAATGCTGACAAAAGAATGAATGTAAAAGGGCCCTATTCATGAGAAATAAATTCTGGATATTACTTCAGATAGGAAAAGACCCAAGTGATATTCCTTATCATCTATAGATGAAGAAAATTCTTCAGTTGCTAAATATCCATTGGAACTTTTCTTCCATATACTCTCAGAAAAATTTAAATGAAGTCCATTTGGCTACAGAATTGTTGGCAGAAAAATCTGGATATTAAAACTTAAGTTACGCAGCATGAATCATAGTTTCCTGAATATTGCAATTCTCAAGAGTAAGGAATCAATTTAGCCACATACATAGAAGACAGATTTAATTCAGGCATATATCAATAGTGTTTGTTTTTTAAATATTTTTGTATTTTTTCCTAGATTCCCCACAGATGAAAATGTCAAAAGAAAATGGGTTTTAGCAATGAAAAGACTTGATGTGAATGCTGCAGGCATTTGGGAGCCTAAAAAAGGAGATGTATTATGTTCAAGACACTTTAAGAAGACAGATTTTGACAGAAGTGCTCCAAATATTAAACTAAAACCTGGAGTCATCCCTTCTATCTTTGATTCCCCATATCACTTACAGGTTTGTTTACAAGATGCTGCTTGTAGTCAGTACTCACTTTCCATGGTACCTTGAAGAATTTGCACCATTCTTTGCCTACGTTTTTATTGTTTGCTTATTCATTTGAAGCACATTTTGGGGGGTTTTTAAATTTACAGAAGGCAGCTTTAGCTTTCACGATATATGGTAAGAATATTTTATCAGTAGCCACTCATAAATATTGGTACATTCCTATAATGTGGTAAAGTGGACTAACTTTAGGAATTGGCATAACTCTTTGTGTCTAAAAAGCAGGGGGTTAACTTAGAAGGTTGAACAGAAATTCCAAATTAGCAGTCCTCAAGAAATCAAGAGCTAAATTACTTACAGGTCCAAAGTATACTTCCATGAGCAGCCACTACACAGAAACTTAAAGCCTGGATAGGACAAAAAAAAAAAAGAAAAAACAGGAGAGAAGGATAAGAACAGAGAAATAAAGGAGAAAGGGGTCAAGAAAAGAAAATACAAGAATATTTTTGTCTCCGTGATTGTGCCATGGGTTAGCTGCCTCCTCCCCTCAGTATCTCTTTACATAGATATGTAAGAATGTACTTACTTCCAAAAAGTATGGACTGACTGATGGATTCAAATATGGAAAACTCAAAGAAGTATGAAAGGTATTTCCTTCCTGACAGCTAAAAATGTTATCCAGACGTGCACCTGCTCCCATGCAGTCTTGGTCATTCTCTAAAGCTGGTTATATTCAGTGCCTGAGTGATTAAGTACAGACTGCCTCACTTTCTTCCATGTTAGTAAATGTACAAAATCTTATGCAATTTGCTTTAAAGATTTTTTCTACCAGCAAAGTGTCAGCTAGCTATTAAGTAAGATAATAAATTAGCCATAAGATGCTAACTTTCAAAGACTATTTTCTTATAATAGATTTTTCATAATAGGAATTTATGTAAAGAAGCAAAAGATTAAATAAAAAGAATAATCAGATCAGAAATAATAATGTAAACACTTGGATGTGTAGCTTTCCAGTCATTTGGATGTATGTTTTGTATAAACTCATCAATGTTTATTTAGATAATGTTATAGAATTTCAGTGTCCTTTATTTGCTTATTTTATTTTGTGTTTTTTACATTTATATAGTGTTTGCTGTTTCAGGGCACCATTCTAACCATTTTACATATATATTAACTCAGTTAGTCCTCAAAACAACCACATGAGGTAAGTGCTGTTGTTGTTCTCATTTTATCACTTTAGGAACCTAAGACCCAGAGAGCTGGAATGCCTCCTGTAGAGTTACACAGCTATAAAACAGCAGAGACTAGATTTGAAAATATACATTTGAGTTCTGGAATTCACTCTTAACTACTGTTCTCCATGATATTAAATACTTTCCCACAACAATGGCTTTCAAACTTTAGTCTACATAAGAGTTATCCAAGGAATTTTTTTAAAATACAGATTCCTATGGCCCACTCCCAGAGAACTTAATTCAGTTTCTTTGGGTTAAAGTCCAGGCAACCGTACTTTTTAACAAGTATCCCACGTGGATGTACTGCAGATTATGATCCCATTTTAAGAGAAATCTATGTAGAATATCATTCTTTTTAATTTAAGTTACTTATATGTGTGTGTATGTGTATGGAAAAATGAACACACCCTAAATGTGTAAATCACCAAGTTTTCACAGAGTAAATATACTCATCAAGCTCTCCTCAGACAAAATACAACACAGAAGCTTCCCTTATGGTCTTCCTGAGTCACTATCCTCTCAGAGGTAACTACTATCCTGACTTCTATCATTATTGGTTATATAAATGGAGTCCTACCTACGGGTTGTAGTCTGGCTTCTTGAGCTCAATCTTTTCTGTGATTCATCTATGTTGCATGTGATATTTGTCCGTTTATTTTTGTTGTTATATAGTATTCCATTATGTTAATAAACAAATTTCTCTATTCTGTTGATAAACATTTGAATTCTTTTTTTCATTTTGATGCTATTGTAAATGCAACCGTGAACATTTTTGTTCATGTCTTTTGGTGGATTTATGTACACATTTTTTATAGAATACATGTGTAGATACGTCTGTTAAAAATGAGACTTGCTGGATCCTGGGATGTGTATGTTTAATTTAAATAGATATTGTCATAGTTTTCCAAAGTAGTTTCACAAATTTACAGTATCATCATATAAAAGTTCCTTGGATTCCTCTTGCCAATATTTGGTAGTGTCAGCTTTATAGCTCATATTTAATGACCATAGAGCAGTTAATCCTGCATATAGGCACAATAGTTTATATAATCAAGCCTCACTATTGCATGTAGGCTATCATGTAACAGCAGGGAAATGAATATTATTGAAGTGAAAT